AGCATCAGCGACCATCACCCTGCATGTACTTGGTAAGCTGCATGATCTATTGCTCTGTGCATGGGATTGCAGCGTTAGAGGGGTGTATATGATAAGCGGGAATTGTTTGCTCTGTGTACAGCCGTGGGGACGGGGCGGTGGATCTTCAAACGTGCTCTGAGTTCCACCCACCCAGAGCAGTGTGCCTGACAGCACTGCCAGACAGCAATCCTGTGCACGTACACGGGTTTCTTCCGTTTCCAATGTTTCCCAAGAGGGATCTGCTTCTGGTGAGGCCAAACTAACATGCGATATCGAAAAAAAATATATCGGAGTGAGAGGGGGGTTTAACTTGATCTCCGGTTTGGTTTGCATTGGTTCGTTTGGGTTGTGGGCCGGAGCAGGGATAGAACATAGAACGGAGAACGGTACAGCACAGTACAGGCCGTTCGGCCCACGAGATCAATTTACCCTGCATACCCTATATTCTACTCTCTTCTATATGCCTACCCAAGAGTCGCTGAAAAGATGATGAGATGGATAGAGTCATGGAGTCATGCACGACGAAAACAGACCCTTCGGTCCAACGAGTCCACGCCGGCTATAATCCCAAATTAAACTAGTCTCACCTGCCTGCTCCTTCCCATATCCCTCCAAACCTTTCCTATTCATGTAGTTCTTCAAATGTCTTTTAAACATTGTAAATGCACTCATATCCATCACTTACTTTGGAAGGTCATTTCGCACACAAGCCAGTCTCTGTTTAAAGAAAGTTGCCCCTTATGTCTTTTTCTTAAATCTCTCTCCTCTCACCTTAAAAATGTGCCCCCCTAATCTGAAATCCCCTATTTTAGGGAAAAGACAACTGCAATTAATTCCATCTATACCCCTTTATTTTATAAACTTCTTTCAGGTTGTGTCTCAACCTAACAATCGAAAAAAGTCACAGTCTACCCAGACTTTATTTATGATTACTTTCCATACCTGGCAACAGCTTGGTAAATCTATTCTGAACCATCTTCATCTTAACAATATCCTCTCTATAACTGGGCAAGCAGCACTGGGTGCAGTATTCCAGAACAGACCTAACAAATGTCCTGTACAACCTCAACATGACTTCTCAATTCCTGCACACAGAGGACTGAGCAATTAATGCAAGCATGCCAAATGCATTTTAACCATCCTGTCTGTATGTGATGTAAACTTCAAAGAACTTTGTACCTGAACTCCTTGGTCCCTCTTGTTCTACAACACTGCACAAGGCCCCACCATTAATTGTATAAGCCCTACCCTTGCTTGTTGTGCCAAAATATGCCTCACAATTATCCAGATTGAGCTCCATTTGCCCAATCGATCAAGGTCCCTTTGTAATCTTAGAAAATCTTCTTCTCCATTTACGATGCCACCAATTTTGGTGTTGTCCACAAACTTACTAACCATGTCTTCTATATTTTCATCCAAATCATTTATATAAATGACAAACAAAAGAAGACCCAGAGCTGATCCATGTGGAAGACTACTGGTGACAGGCCTCCAGTCTGAAAGGCAGCCCTCCACCATTACTCCCTTTATCTTGCCTCTAAGCCTGTTATGTATCCAACTAGCAAGTCAATCTGAATCCCTTATGACCTACTTTACTAATTAGTCTACATGCCCAACCTTGTCAAAGGCTTTACTAAAGTGCAAGTAAACTATATCTACTGCTCTGCCCTCAACAATCTTTTTGGTAACTTCTCAAAAAACTCAATCAAGTTTGTGAGACATGATTTTCCTTGCACAAAATCATGCTGACTATCCCTAATCAATTTTTGCCCCTCTAAATGTCCATAAATCCTACCTACTAAAATTACCTTCAACAATTTACACACAGCCAAAGGCTGACTCACAGTTATAGTTCCCCAGTTTGTTTTTACAACATTTCTGAAACAAAGGCACAACATTAGCCACCCTCCAGTCATGATGCACCTCACCTGTAGTTGTAGATGATGCAAATACTTCTGCAAGGGTTCTTGCAATTTACTCCCTTATTCCCCACAATATTCTGGGATACATTAGGTCCTGGAGATTTATCCACCTTTATATTATCTAAGACATCCTGTACTTGCTCTTCTACAATGTGAATTGTTTTTAAAACATCAAAAACATTTCTCTGCATTATCTAGCCTCTATTTCATTCTCCACAGAAAGAAAACTGACACAAAATATTCATTTAGTGTCTCTTCCATCTCTTGTGGTTCAACACAACGGTGACCTCCTTGATCTTTGAGGGCCCTCTCTAGCTATCCTTTTGCTCTTAATGTATTTGTGGAAACTCTTTGGATTATCCTTAATCTTATCTGTCAATGCTATCTCATAATCCATTTTTGCTTTCTCAAGAATACCCTACACTCCTTATACTGATTGAGAGATTCAATTAAACTAAGCTGTCTATATCTAAAATGAGATTCTCTTTCATTCTTGACTGGAACCATTATATCTTTATTCATTCAGTGTTCCTTAATCTTACCAGCCTTATCCTTCATTCTGACAGGAACATAATGTCCGTAAACTCTCCTCATTACATCCTTGAAAGCCTCCCACTTGTCAGACATCCTTTCACCTGTGAACAGTCTACTCCGATCAACTTTTAAAGTTCTTGTGTTGTACCATTAAAATTTGCCTTCCTCCAAATAAAAAAACTTTAACTTTTATGGAAGGCTTATCTTTTACCATGAGCATTTTGAATTGAATAGAATTATGGTCGTTTGAACCAAAGTGTTCGCCTACATTTCCTTCAGTCAACTGCCCTGCCTTATTACCTAAAAGAAGGTCTAGTTTTGCTCATTCTCTTGAATTTTCTTGAACACATTTGACAAATTCTTCACCATCCAAACCTTAACACTATGTTAGCCCCAGTCAATGTTTAGAAAACTAAAATCCCCCAATTTTACAACCATAATATGCTTACATATATCTGAGATCTCCCTACATATTTGTTTCTCAATTTCTCTCCGACTAGTGGGGGACCTTTTGTACAATCCCATCAAAGTGATCTTTCCTTTCTTATTTTCAATTTCTGCCCTTATATTTTCAGGATATTTCTGGATGATGTTTTCAGAAATATCTTCTCTAGTTACAGCAGTAATGTTTTCCTTAATCAAAAACTCCAGTCCCCTCCTTTCTTGTTTCTTTTCCTATCCTTCCAATAGCATCTAAAACCACGAACATTGAGCCACCAGTCTTGTCCATCTCTCAGCCAAGTTTCTGTAATAGCTATGACGTCCCAATCTGATTTTCTTTAAGATGCCCTGCATTCATCAGCCTTACCTGTAAGACCCTTTGCATTGACATAAAGTCAAGTTGGTTCTTCAGATTTACTATGTACTCTGACTCTCTCATGTCTTTCTGTTCTAATTGATGTGCTGTCTTCTCATTCAGATCCTTCCCCATCAATCGTTCTATTTACACTGCTGCTTATGATTCCTCCAATTGCCCTCTTTGTCAGTATAAAGTCTCCATTAATGGAATGAGCAAATTTCCCTGCTGAGATATTGGTCCGATTCCAGTTCAGGTTAGAGCCATCCTTTTATGAACAGTTCTTTTATGTCCAAAAAGAGATTCAAAAACCTGAGTCCCTGAACAATACACTACCTCTTCAGCCATTAATTTATCTCCTTCAACCTTTTGTTCCTTCCCTCAGTTGAATTTGGCCTTGGGAGTAAACCAGAAATCTGATGCAACTTTGGGGAGTTTTGGAAAATTGGTGGGTTTGGACATCAGTGAGTGCTCTGGAGCCGGGTTCCCTACATTTTCCACCTTGAAATGTGGGCGTCACTTGCAGTGCCTGCATTGTGACCATCCCTAATTGACCCTTCACCTTAAGGGCCATTGTTTGGGAAGGAGATGGCCCAGTGGTATCATTAGTAGATTATCTTTCCAGAAATCCAAATGCTGCTCTGGTGAATCAGGTTCAAGTCAGTGGATGGTGAAATTTGAATTCAGTAGAAATCTGGAATGAAGACCCTCATGGTGACCCTGAATCCATTGTTGATTATCCGAGTTGGGGGAAGAGTCTGGTTTTGGTGTCCTTTTGGTGAAGGAAATCTGCCATTCTTGCATTGTCTGACCTATACATGACTCCAGACTAGCAACTTTGTGACTCTTATTGCCATTTGAGCAGTCAGGCATATGCAATAAATGCTGGCTAAGTCACATTTGGGAATGACTTTCAAAAAAATTGCAGCTTATCGTTTATCACGTTTCTCTAGGCCTGGAGTCACTTGTACTATAAACCAACATATGATGTGAAAATCCTCGCCAGACTGACATCAGAAATTTTGTATTGATTTCACTTTTCATCCATGAGTGTTATTATAATGTACTATCCACTGGCTTTTCTACAACATGCATCCTCCACAAGGAGGGGTTTATATGTTTTGTTTTCATTGAGCAACATTTATCGGTAGAATATTCGTCATCTTGTATATCATAGAATCCCTACGGTGTGGAAACCGGTCCTTCGGCCCAACAAGTCCACACTGACCCTCAGATCATCCCACCCATGCCCATCCTGCATAACCCACCTAATCTACACACCCCTGAACACTTCAGGGAATTTAGCATGGCTAATCCACCTAGCCTGCGCATCTTTGGATTGTGGGAGGAAACCGGAGCACCTGGAGGAAACCCACGCAGACACTGGGAGAACGTGCAAACTCCACACAGACAGTCGCCAGCGGGTGGAATCAAATCCGGGTCCCTGGTGCTGTGAGGTAGCAGTACTAACCATTGAGCCACCGTGCTGCCCAAAACAGACTTTATGGATAGGCCCCATTTATTCTTCTAGCTGACGCTGTCATGTAAACAAGAGGGGTAAATTTTGACTTTCATTTTTGTTTCTCCTTCCACACTCATGCAACGTGTGAGCAGTGTTACGCTGCTCTGAATCACAGATATGTTCTCACGTTTTCTGAACTTACAGGAATATATATCCTCATTCCGCGTCGGCAATTAACATCCACGGTGCCAAAACAGCACTTTTTTCACACAACAAAAAATCAGAATAAGCTTAAAT